CATGGGCGGTAGGAAGATATTCGATGTGTAGTGACGTTAGTAGTGCTAATGTATTTGCCCTCGTAGCTGCGATAAGTGATGGCCGTGTGAAGAGCTTTGGGTAGGAGAATTCTCAATGGTAAGCTGTGGCGGGGTGGTAAAATTGCTCCATCTGGCGTTGCAACCATCGCTGGGAGTGAAGAGGTCGTGCCGTTTGCCGTGGCAATGCCGCAGTTGGCGATGTTGTGTGAAGATGACAAGTTAATTTTTCCAAGCTGCTCTGAAGTTGCTTGATTGAGCGGCTGTTTGTAGCTGCGCTTTGGTGTGGAGAGCAGCTTGCGGGCGTGAAGACGCGACCTGGCAGATTTGAAGACATGGCGTTGCTCGAGTGTGATTTCCGTCGGGTCGGTCGGTCGATTGCTGTGATTGGACGCATTCGCTCGCGAGGACTCGATTAGAGCTTACTGCCGAAGACACACTCTCGCCCAATTCCCGTGGAGCTATGGCGATCTTCCTTGTTCGCTTCTTTTGTAGAACGCTTCCTTTCTCGTTGCTTGGGGCATGAGTACGGAGAACTTACATCACGCTCGCGCTTGTACGAAACATTAGTAGTATATTCTTATGGATCCTTGTACGGAACTTTGCTCACACCACACAACATCAAAGACCCATGCGTGAAGATTTTAGTCGTCAAAGTCCCCGTATAAGCTTCGTCCGGCCGAGAAGATTTTTGACAAATCTGGTGATCATTTGTAACATGTTTGTTTTTGGCGAGTTCGTACTATCATCTGGGGTCAACGGAGTGCTGCTTACACTTGTTGGGCCCGAAGTGTTCCGAAGATTTTCGCACTATTTGGTGTCACTGGCCACAGTAATGGTTTTGGCAGCTCATATGAAATATGTGATTGTTGTTTTCAACCTGAGAAATTGAAATCAGAAAAATAACCAACGAGAGATACCTTGACGCCACAGGAAGGACAAGGATTTTCAAACCTTATGGCTTCTTGTCCTGCTGCTAAACCAGCTGCCAAAGCTCCGCATTCTCCCCTCTGTCGTTATCATCGAAAAGAGTGCACAAGCCAGCAGAAAGAGTTCGTCACTCGAAAGCCCGACTCCACAAAAAACTCCGAAGAAATTTCACCCGAAGTGAAGATAGCCATCGATCCGCTTCCCGCATTTGAAGCAAAAGTACTGACCACAGCTGGAGCAAGTCATTTTGTTGCAGCCCGCGGACTTGGAGATGGCCATGCCGCACGTTGGACACGGTTTGGCGTCCTTCTTGACAAAGTCGAGATTTTTGAGCTCGTTCACCGGGTTTTCTTCCCGCCTCCGCTGGTCTTCTGAAACTCGGGAGCGTCGAGCCTGCAATTAGAGTAATATAAATGTGACCGTGGCAACAAAGAGAGGGATTGTCAAACTTACGCGAAGGATTAACAAGCGAGCCTCTGGAGTGAGGCATTCCTGACAGTGCCTTGCGGCTCTGAAGAAGCATTATAAGGTGGAATACCTCCTTTATACTTCACGTCTATATGCTGTTCATCTTGCAGCATGAGATGGATGGATGCAAGTTTGCGTCGTCCGCTTCTTCATCGTCCTCGTTCTCCTTCGCACTTGCCCTGCCTACATCTCTCGTTCGAGGCCTCTGAATGCGCGCAGCGCATATAATGGAGCGAGGTGGGAAGTTGTTGCTTTGTTGGCGAATTGAGTGTGTTTCTTTCTTCGGCCCAGTCGATATGTAGGCAGGGCAAGGCTTGAGTGCATGTGTTACTGTTTCTATTTTCCAGCGCACACCGGGCAGATTTGTAGATTTCGTGGAATTTTGTTGCAGCGACCTAGCTCCATCATGAGCCTGTGGCTTCCTATGTGGCATCTTTCGATGGCGTGCCAATTCCACGTTGAATGTTGGGTCTGGTCCATGCCGGGTTCAGTTCTTCGCAATCCTTTGCTACCATTGTTTCAGCTTTTCGTCAAGGGCGCTCTGCGCAAGCGTCACTAACCTGAGCTCGGTCTTGTGCAGCTTCTTCAAGTCTTCATACTCGTCGCTCTAGAAGTGATGCACTCCGTCTTGCCCTTAGGCCTTTGCTTTTCTTTTTTGTTTTAGCTTGCATGTCCTTTGTTCCATAGCTTCTACGCTCCTGACTTTGGCATAGTGTCGCAGCGTTGGACTGGACGGCAAGAGTAGTCTCGGCTTGTGGTTTTGGCTAGTTGGTGACAAATTGAGCTTAAGTAGCAACTTAGCATAACTCTAATAGGAAGGTGATGGTGGCCATGTGTTAGACCAGAGTCCTTCTCCCTTGTGCTTTGTCCGCGGAAGAGCTTCCGACGAGCAACGAAGGGACATCAGCCGACCGGACTAGTTGTTTAAAGATATCTTGTTCAGTGTCAACTTCGTTCTTTGCTTGGGGAGTTGTCTTCTCTTGAAGGAAGATTCCCATTGCCCACAGCACATCGCGGAGCGTCGTCCAAGCTCGGGTTGTGATGCTGATCATCCCTTGATTCTTCAGGCCCGTTCCGGCTCGAAAAATCCGGTTCTCGACCAGCTCTTGCTCAGTCCCAGGATACTGCCTCAGAATTGTTCGACGCAAAGACGGACTGGATGGCCACATCTTTGGAGGTCTCATCGAAGCCGCCAGAAAATCCGTTCTTGCATCGCAGCTGCGGGCTAGAAAATCGAAGTGTCGGCTTCGCTGTCCATGCAGATGTTCTCACAGTAGCGCCATAGACCGATCAGAGCCACATACGCGAGCTTCACGACTTCCTGGCTGGCAAAGGCTCGTATGCATGATCTTATGACTTCGCCATGTTGGCTACTCCAGATTACTCGACGTCGGTTTTCAAAACATTTGCTATCAGATAGTGTCTTTAAGTCTCGTGAAAACCCATGACAAGGGACAGCATCCAAGTTGTGAGAGGCGTGGGCTTGCTAGATCTGGTTGCCAATGAGCAGTGTAGCTTGGGATGAGGTCTTGTTGCAGCTGGCAATTAATCTTGTAGGGCTTTGTCTTGCCGGGAGCTTGTGTTGAGCTTGTGTTGCGGCTGGCTAAGGAAGCTGAAGTGGACTAGCTCATGGTCTTGACACTCTTTGAGGACGTGGTCAATCCTCGGATGCAACTACATCTCTCGCTTCAAGCCCGCAAGCTGGTCTCGCATGTCAAGCACGATCTCACAAGATTACATTCATCTTGCCTCCAAAATCCTGTTTTGGGTCATTATTACCAGCAGCAGCCCCGAGAACCATAACGCAAACTCCACCGGGTCCCGTAGACGGTGCTCTTTGATCTTGTCTATTTGATATCGCACTTGACATGCTTCAATCTTGCAGGAGAGCTTCTTGATTTTTCAGTTGTTCTTGTGTTGGTCTTGCATGCTTGGGTGGCACTGGGCGGTAGGAAGATATTCGATGTGTAGTGACGTTAGTCGTGCTAATGTATTTGCCCGAGAATTCTCAATGGTAAGCTGTGGCGGGGTGGTGAAATTGCTCCATCTGGTGTTGCAACCATCGCTGGAGTGAAGAGGTCGTGCCGTTTGCCGTGGCAATGCCGCAGTGGTGGTAGCGCATGGCGGTGTTGTGTGAAGATGACAAGTCAATTTTTCCAAGCTGCTCTTGATTGAGGGGGGCAGTGGTTTTTAAAATTGTGGAGCCGTTGGTGGGAAGCTTGGCTATGGCGTCGGCGCGCTTTGGTGTGGGGAGCAGCTTGCGGGCGTGAAGACGTTTCGGACGTGACGTTCGAGATGCCAGCAAGAAGCCCCTGTTCTTTGAGATCTTGGTCTTGAACTTGCGTTTGGCATTGTTCCCATTGTGCCGCGATCGCAGGAGGAAGGTGGAGCGCAAAAGGGTGTGGATGGCTTGCTCATCTTCGTGCTTCTCGATCTTGTACACGAGCTTCTATGTGCGTCTTGATGCTGTGTGTTGGTTGATTCTCCTTGCTTGGACTGTCCGGCAGATTTGAAGACATGGCGTTGCCCGCGTGTGGTTTCCGTCGGGTCGGTCGGTCGATTGAAGAGGTTCGCTGATGGCTTGATTGGACGCATTCGCTCGCGAGGACTCGATTAGAGCTTACTGCCGAAGACACACTCTCGCACAATTCCCGTGGAGCTATGGCGATCTTCCTTGCCCGCTTCTTTTGTAGAACGCTTCCTTTGTCGTTGCTTGGGATGTTGCTTGTGGGACGATCGTACGGAGGACTTACATCGGATCGAAACATTAGTAGTATATTCTTCTGGATCCTTGTACGGAACTTCGCCCTCTAAAAAGCGAAGCTTGAAGGACGTGACCCATGCGTGAAGATTTTAGTCGTATAAGCTTCCTCCGGCCAAGAAGATTTTTGACAAATCTCATTTGGTTGTAACATAGCTCTTCATGTTTGTTTTTGGCGAGTTCGTTCAATCATCTGGGCTCGACGGAGTGCTGCTTACACTTGTTGGGCCCGAAGTGTTCCGAAGATTTTCGCACTAATTTGTGGCATTGGCCACAGTAATGGTTTTGGCAGCTCATACAAAATATGTGATTGTTGTTTCCAACCTGCCAGAATCCTCGAGACATCGAAAGAAGGAAAATAACCAACGAGAGATACCTTCACGTTTGGCTGGCCACACGAAGGACAAGGCTTTCCAAACCTTATGGCTTCTTGCCGCTGCTGCTGACGCTGTTCCTGCTGCTGAACCAGCTGCCAAAGCTGCGCATTCTCCCCTCTGTCGTCATCGTCGAAAAGAGTGCACGAATTGCTGCAAAAACCAGAAAGAGTTCGTCACTCGAAAGCTCGACTCCACCGAAGAAGTTTCACCTGAAGTGAAGATAGCCATCGATCCGCTTCCCGCATTTGAAGCAAAAGTACTGACCACAGTTGGAGCAAGTCATTTTGTTGCAGCCCGCGGACTTGGAGATGGCCATGCCGCACGTTGGACACGGTTTGGCGTCCTTCTTGACAAAGTCGAGATTTTTGAGCTCGTTCACCAGGTTTTCTTCCCGCTTCCGCTGGTCTTCTGAAAGGGAACCTCGATCCTGCAAGAGTAGAGTAACACAAATGTGATGGTGGCACCAGAGAGAGAGGGAGATTGTCAAACTTACGCGAAGGATTAACAAGCGAGCCTCTGGAGTGAGGCATTCCTGACCGACGTGCCTTGCCGCTCTGCAGAGGCTACAGAAACTGAAGAAACATCGGCTGCATTGTGCGTCATGATCTCCCTCTTCAATGCATGCTGCACCACAGCGAGGACAGTAGACAATGTCGCTCATCGCGTCCAGCGTTTTCTGCAGGCACAGCTTCTCCCATCGTTCAAAATCCTCCTCGGAAAGAAGCTCTTTCAGCGCAGATGGTGGAATGCCTCCCTTACAATCCGGACACTTCAAGCTGTTGATGGAGCCATCGGTGACGTGAACTGACATGTACTGCTGCATGCATTTTCGGCAGTAAGCATGTTGGCAGGGAAGCTTTATAAATTCTCTTCCTGCAATGAGACCTTTTCGTCAAAGAAGAATAAAACTTCAACGTAAGAATGCTCACCAGTGGATTCTTCGAAACAAATGGTGCAGAGATGGATGGAACTGAGAAACGTACTGAGTTGCATCTCCTCGTTGTAGCGAAGAAGGGAGAGCGCATCCTCGTCGAGTGAGTTGCATCCAGAGATAACTCTTGGATCGTGAAGCTTGAGCGGCTGTTGAACCAGCTCTAGTTTCTCGAAGGCTCCAATGGCGCTCAAAGCTTGAGAGTGGAGAAACTCCGTCCAGGGATAGACCACGACCTCCCCCTTTTGATCCTCCCAAATCTCCAGCAGCTTATCGCTGAGGCGAATAAGCCTGTCCGCAGAGAGCCACTGAGCATGAAGTACAAAAGGTGGACGAGAGTGTGATGGATATGTGCTCGGAAGAAGGAAGGCCAGATGAATCGGTGGGAGGTACTGTAGCGTAAAGCTGTGCCGATTAGTTGCTCCAGAAGAAGGCAATGGACGTTCCATAGAAATCTCGATGCTCTCGAAGGCTTCCAGCGTGACCTCTATCTGTCACGAAGAGATAGTATATAGCAAGCTAGAACAAAAGGATAGACTTTACCATGAAGCAGCGAAGATCACCATCGCTTTCCTTGCTCAGGTGCTTGAAACTTCCTTCATAGATAGCTTCCAAGGCCAAAATCTACGTCCTCACATCAGCCAACTGCAAGAGAAAAGAAAAGAAAAGTAAAGAACTTACTTCGTCGTCTTGTTCTTGCTTGTTTTGAGAAATCTTGTCATCAGCAATGGCACTGGCCGCCTCCGTCTTATCTTGCTCCAAAAGTTTTCGCAGCATCATAGTTTCCAAATCCTCGAGCTCGGGCCGCCCGGTATCATCACTAGCAAAAATCCCATGCGCATTGCCGCTGCTGCTCGCACCGCTGTCTACCACAATTCTATCCTCCTCTAAATCCTGGACAAATACTTCCCCAAAATCGCGAAGATCCTCGTTCTTCTCATCGCTCATCGGCCGCGAATTCCTCCTCCCCCTTCGGTTCCTCCTACTTCCTATGAATTCCGACAGACGCACACTGACGCTACCTGGTGACGAGATCTCATCGTCGGCGGACGCGAATGCCCCTAGACTGTCCGCCGCCGGCGAGACGCTGAGCGGCAGCGGAGATCCCGCCGGCGGCGATGGAAGTCCGCTCGCTACAAACTCTGGATTCTTGGCCAGCTGCCGGATGATCTTTCGGGCGCTGACGCTCTTTCGATCCATCCACACGCTTACCGGGCCATCAATGACACATCTTTTTTAGTGTGCGAATCTTTTCTTTCTAGCGGCATTTTGTAGTGAAACTCGATGTTCCAATCAAACTAGCTTTCCTGCTTGAAACATGAACGCTCTTGCGGAGGACCAGCGCATGAAAGCAACGTTTTTCTTTTTTTCAAAACTTTTGGATCCAACTTCCAAAACTTGGAGCGATTGTTTTCCCGATCAAACCAGCTTTTGTAGCAACTGGATGCTCTCCACTCTCAGCTCCAGTTCTCCGACCATCTTCGCGAGTCTCGCACGATCGGCCTCTTGGACTTCCTCCGAGGCTTTGTCCTTGTAGACCTGGGACGAGATCTTCTTCTGGAAAACTTCGATCTTCCTGCGAGGATTTCACACCGACAAATAAGAGACGATGATAGCTTGAAACCTCTGAAGAACTTACTTCGACTCCTCGTCTTTCTGCTTGAGAAGCTTGCTGAGCTCCGAGCTGAGATCCACGATGCCTTGGAGCATGACATAGGCCGATACCTTGTCGTTCACAATGGTGACCGCACAGCCCGCTGGTAGCTCCGCAACATCGTTGCATATCTGCAAGCATCACGATGAGGCCAGCTTTCGCAAGGAAACTCTTTCCACTCACATTCATGCTGGAAAGGTTTGCCAGTGTTGCTAACTCCGACGAGTGATCTGTGAACATTGTGAAGAGTTCTGCGTCTCCTGTGACAATGAAACCTCCCGGCCTACACGAGACAACAATCCTTCGACTCAGTAGCAAAATAGCAAATGAAAAATCTTACTTTTGCTTTGGTTGCACGCGACATGCCGCACAAAGAGCTCGGACAGCCTTCACAGTCGATAGTATCAAAGTCATTTCGGCGTCGACAGCTTCGTTATCCAAGTCCTGGAAGAGCAAACACTCTATAGCAACGACGTCTTTGATAAGATCAAATGAGTACCTTCCTCCTCGTTGGATAGCTAGCCAGCATGATCGACGAGTTCTCCTCCTGGGCTCTTGGCAGTCTCTGCCACAGCTCTTCAGTGACGAACGGCATGAAGGGATGTAATAGCCGTAGTCCATTCTCCAGGCATACCCACAGAGTATCTCTTGTCAGCTTCTTGGCATCCTCTGAGTCTCCTTTCGATAGTGTTGGCTTCGTTAGCTCGATAAACACGTCGCAAAGGTCGTACTGCCACCAAGAGTAAATTGCCGATGACGCTGCGGACAAGTCGTATTTCTCCATATGTCCATCCACGGCAGCTACGGTTCCGTTCAAAGCAGAAAGAATCCACTTGCAGCTCCACGGCAGCTCGGAAATATTCAGTTCTTCAGAGGGAATGAAGTTGTCACCCAGGTTCAGCATCGCAAATCGGATTGCATTCCAGAGTTTGTTGCACCAGTATCTGTAGCCAGCCACACGCTGGACGTCCAAATTGATGTTCTCGGACTGCGCACAAATGGAAGGAGTTTAGAAACTTCCCCTGTGGGAAGAATTGAACTCGTACCTGAGCAGTGTAGTTCACAAGAGCAAAACGAAGAGCATCAGCTCCGCAAACGGGAATTCCCTCAGGAAAGTCGCTTTGCAAACCGGCTAAAGCCGTCTTGTATTCGGCTGGATCCAGGTTTCCTTGCGACAACTTTGCCTTGAGACCGTCCAATGTTATACCGTGAATCACATCCAGTGGATCTATCACGTTGCCAAGGGACTTGGACATCTTACGGCCATGAGCATCTCGGACCATTGCATGCAAGAAAATCTGAAAACGAGGGAATGAAAACCAGTTTAATCACGCAAAAATTACCTGTTTGAAAGGTACTTCTCCCGTGAGCTGAATTCCCATCATGACCATGCGAGCAACCCAGAAGAAGAGAATATCATGGCCCGTTTCGAGCAATGTCGTCGGATAGAATGCTTGGAGATCTTTCGTAGCTTCTGGCCATCCCAACACAGAGAAAGGAAACAGTCCGGACGAGAACCACGTGTCGAGCACGTCCGGGTCCTGCTCGAAAGAGATTATTTTCTTTCCTGAAAATTTCTCCTCGGCTGCTACTCTGGCCTCGGTCTCGCTTCTAGCCACAATCCAGTGATCATTGTATGCCCCCATTTCTTTTAGCTCGTCACCTTCAAACGTACAATACCAGGCTGGGATCTGATGCCCCCACCAAAGCTGTCGCGAAACACACCAGTCTCGAATGTTTTCGAGCCACCTGCAAATGAGCAAGTAAGCTAAAATGAGAGAATAAATCTCAACTTACCGAAACCAGGTGTCTTCAAATTGACTCGGGATGATCTCAAGCTCTTTCGTTCGCACCGCGTTGCAGGCTTTCGCAGCTATGTCCTTGCAACTAACATACCATTGAGGCTTGATCATCGGCTCCACGACATCGCCGGTCCTAGAGCAAATACCAAGCCTCATGGAATTATCAGCCACACCCCTATACAGACCCTGCACGTAGAAGAATTTAGATATTCCTTAGCATTCTGCCGCAAGTTTCTGCCTTACTTTGTCCTCCAAGGCCTTCAACACGGCAGCACGAGCGTCAAAACGCATCATCCCCTGAAAATCTGGACCTCCGTTGCCGTTAATCTTTCCATCGTCAGTGAGAATATTGATAAACTGAAGGTTGTGCCTCTTTCCAACAAGGAAGTCATTCGGATCGTGTGCAGGGGTGATCTGTAAAAACAAAACAAAAACAGAGCCGGGTGTAAGAAAACGAAACACATAGAATTACCTTCACAGCTCCAGTGCCAAAGTTCATATCCACCAGCACCGCATCACAAATGATTGGAAGCTTTCTCCCGTTGAAAGGATGAACAACAAACTTGCCGTGTAAATGCGAGTATCTGGGATCCTCTGGATGGACAGCCACTGCCGAATCACCTAGCATAGTCTCTGGTCTTGTCGTTGCCACAACGATCTCCCCTTTGCCGTCTTCCAAAGGATACGCGAACGATGTTAAGGCCCCAAACTCGACAGTAGACTTGTATCCTGGTACTTTGCGGAGAGTGCGTTTTTCGACATCAATATAATCCACCTGAAAACATTGCTTTAGTGTGTAGTTTAGCAAGTACAAGAAGACTACCTCTATGTCTGAAATTGCTGTTCTCAAAACGCAATCCCAATTCACGAGACGATTATCTCTGAGGCAACGCAAAATTAGATAGCGGCATACCTTTGAAAAAAGTAAAAACCTGTATAGAAGCCCATCCTTGTGAAACCGCACGAATGCTTCTACGACAGCTTTGCATCTTGGCTCATCCATTGTAAAGCACTAGCAAAAAACACACATTCCATTAAGAGCAATATTTCCGCAACTATCTTACCTCTCGAGACCAATCGACAGAAGCTCCCATTTTCCGCAACTGGGAGAAAATGCTAGTTCCATGTTGTTCTTTCCACGACCACACCTGCAGTAACACTTAGCATAGTCCAGGAAAGCGGTGAAAAAAATACCTCTTTCACAAAATCCTCCCTGCCTACGTCATGCCTCGTCAAACCCTTTTCCCGCATTATTTTCTTCTCTACAACCACCTGTGAAAGATCCTCAGGAACAAGCTAAAAACAATGGGACTTGCATTGTACCTGTGTGGATATCCCAGCATGGTCTACTCCTGGTACCCAAAGAGTCTCATATCCTTTCATTCTTCGCCATCGCGTGAGAGTATCCTGAGAAAAGAAGTCAATATAGAATGAGAAACAAAAGGATAATTACCTCCACAGCGCACATCAGAGCGTGTCCAATATGCAAAACACCCGTGACGTTTGGTGGTGGTATTACCTGGCACACAATGTAGTTTAGAAACTATGGAATGAAGCACAAGTATTACCATTACAAACTTGGGCTTTTGGCTGCTGGCATCGGCAACAAAGAAACCTTGTTTCTCCCAGTACTCATACCACCTTAAAAAAATAAACTTTAGAACAATTTGAGAGACAAGAATGCACGAAGAAGTTTCAAACTTACGATGCCTCCACGAGTGCCGGATTATAACCCTGCGCCATCACAGGCGCCAGGCGTTTCTTCTCGCCGGAAGGAGTGTAAGGATTTTTGGAATCGGGCAAATCGTCGTTAGACTCCTTGCCTTTCTTCTCCTTCTTAGATTCCACCTGCTGCTCAAAGAAACGAGAACCAAAATCTAAAACATCGACATGAAAAATCTACCTTGGCGGCATTTGCTTCGAGTTTCTTGGCCTCGGCCTTCTGCGCGGCTTTTAGCTTCTTGAGCTCCTTCTCCCTAGCCTGCCGAGCGCCAGCGCTCGCGGATTTAGAACACGCACCGCAGCAAATCCAGGAGAAGAACTGGAAGCATACCTTCTCTTCCTTCTTCTTCTTGCGCTCCAGATCTTCTGGCGCGCCGTCCTCCATGCCTAGCCGAACCCTGCCGCTGCTCAAAACCCTAAATCCCGGGACTACTTTACAAAAATTCCTTTTGACAAGGAACATACTACTAGGGCCGCCCCCCAGCAGCATTGTCATTGTCCCTGCCTATAGTCTTTCTCTTCCACACTTTCCTCGATTAAAATCCCGGGAGAAACTTTAGCTTTAGAAATGCGGTGGTGGTCTTAAGGAAATCTCCACCACGAATCTCTGCCCGATCCATCACCCAGAAAATCCTTGTTCTTCATCAGCCAAAAACTTGGTTTTGTGTGACCCAATGAGAACTTTGAGCTCTTCCACAGTCATTCTCCATGAAAATATGACCAAAAGAATGGATTTTGTATGAGCATCCACGATCATTCTCCTAGGAAAAAAATTCTTTCTTCCCGATCTTCATGGTTTTGTCCCAATCTTTCTCACGCATCAAGCGAAAATCCCACCGTGTTTGTGATAAGCAAATCACGATTTACGCAATGGATAACAGCGGCTTGGCTATGGTGGCTCAGGTGAAACATCCAGTTGATAAGTCGACGACCTTTCACCACTTGTTTTTTTTCTTTGGTGCTCGTTTTTTTGTGCTCGAAAAATTCGTGCTCCGCTCGCTGGGATATACTCCCCAGATGCCTTGGCCTGCGGTATAAGTCT